AGTGCTGATGATGATGTTGATGATGATGGCGATGATGACCACACTAATCATGATGATGATTGTGATCATGATGATGATGAGGATGGTGATGATGATGATGATGATGGTGATGGTGATGGTGGTGATGATGCTGATTGTGATGACGATGGTGACGGTGAGTGTCACAGTGACGGTGATCGTGATGCTGCTGATGATGACGGTCGTGATGGTGATACTGTTCTTGATGATGATGATGCTGCTGCTGATGATGATGATGATGATGATCACCATGATGATTATGATGCTTATGATGATTCGGATGATGATGCAGATTATGTTGATTAATGATCATGATGAGGACCATGATGATGATGATGATGATGATGATGATGATGATGATGATGATGATGATGATGATGATGGTGGTGATGACCTCCTCCTCTTCCGCCTCCTCCTCCTCCGCCTCCTCCCCCGCCTCCTCCTCCTCCACCTCCTCCTCCTCCTCCTCCCCCTCCTCCACCTCCTCCTCCTCCTCCCCCTCCTCCTCCTCCTCTCCCTCCTCCTCTCCCTGCTCTTCCGCCCTCACCCTCCTCGTCCCGTCCTCGTCCCCTCCTCCCCCCCTCCTCCTCTCGCAGCGTCTTCCTTCTCCTCGTTCGCCAGACCGTTTCGGTCGTGGGATTGCTGATTGCTGTTGTTGGGGGGGGGGGATCGACCTGCGGCACCGGGGCTTTGAGCCCGGCCTTCACAAGGGGGGGCCGGGAGCCGCTGGCAGATGGTGCTGAGGCTCTGGTACCGGCCTTTTCTTTATTGTTGTTGCTGCTGTTGCTGTTGTTGTTGAACTCTCATCTCTGAAGAGTAATTATTGTTGATCCCCCCCGTCCTGTGCACATTGTTTTTTCTATTGAAGTGCCCTTCCCGGGGCTCGCACCCTGGTTTTTATAAGGGTAAGTTTTGAGGGTCAAATTGTGCGGTTGGCCCCCGCTTCACAACAACAACGGTTCCCGCCTGATACTTCCTCACAATTTATTGTAGAATCGCGCTCTCGCTTGGGACTTCCTCGCACCTTACGACCGAATCGCGGTTCCCGCTTGATATTTCTTCACAATTTATTCAAATGCCGCTCCTCGACACACAGGAATCGCGCTCCCGCTACATCTTGCCTGGCGGTTCAAGCAGAATTCACGCTTCAACGACCCGCCCGCTCGACCCGCCCGCGCGACCCTGCCTCTCGGTGGTCATTGGGGCCCTTCCGAGGCCCCCCAGAAGTCATAGGAGGTTTTCGGGTGCCTTCAAATCCCCTCGCGCTTTGTTTCCGCACCAGTCTCCGCTCGTATCCACCTGCCCCACCTTTCCAACGTACTTTCCCAGTCTTCTCTACTCTTTCCCTTGATTTTCGTTTTCATGTCGTTCTGCATCGTGCTATTCTTCAGTTCTTCGCATTCCGCCCATTCCTCCTCAGGCCACCCCATTCCACCCCAACAATCTCCACCCCTTCCCGCTCGCATTCCGCACTTCCCCCAAATTATTCCCAGTCCCTCCTCCAGATTCCTCCGTGCGCCCCCCGCTCCTCCGCACTCCTCCCGGCTCCTCTTCTCCACTCCTTGCCGCCCCTCCTCCTGAGACCCTATTCTTGTCCACTCCATCCAAATCCACTCCACATCCCCGCGCTCCTCTCGACACGGTTGCAGTTCTCACTGTCCTTCCGCCCCACTCCCAACATCACACTTCTTGTCAGAGTTCACGAAATTTGTTTCTGACGCCAGTTCGCAGCTGTACGTCCCCCCGCGGGGGGTATCCACAATATGTTATGTCAAGCGGGTGGTGCGTGGCGCTGTTTATGGCGCGGCCCATGGCGAAACTGATTGTTAATCTGTGTTGGAGTGGTTGGCGCAAGCCATGGCGCAAGCTGAATCGCCACTCTCACCAAAAATCATCGTCCCCCCTCATTTTTGCCATCCCTTCCCTTCCTCCGATCCCTTCGTCCTCATTCTCCCCCGTTATATGTCACCCTTCGTTTTCAAGGGCTTCACCAAGCACACGTGGCAGGGAATGAATCTACCCCCCGAGAGGGTTTACGATCGAAGACGAAGAGGGCGGGTATCCAGGGTTTGGAATATGCATATTGAATGACACGCGAGCAGATAAGAGCCAACAGTCTTAACATGATTATTGTTGTTGTTGCTGTCGTTGTCGTTGTCGTTGTCGTTGTCGTTGTCGTTGTCGTTGTCGTTGTTGTTGTTGTTGTTGTTGTTGTTGTTGTTGTTGTTGGTGGTGGTGGTGGTGTTGTTGTTGTTGTTGTTGTTGTTGTTGTTGTTGTTGTTGTTGTTGTTGTTGTTGTTGTTGTTGTTGTTGTTGTTGTTGTTGTTGTTGTTGTTGTTGTTGTTGTTGTTGTTGTTGTTGTTGTTGCTGCTGCTGCTGTTGTTGTTGTTGTTGTTGTTGTTGTTGTTGTGTCGTCGTCCCACTCGCGACCCGCCCGCGAACTACCCCGCAACCCACCCCGCGACCCACCCCGCGACCCTCCCCGCCACCCACCCCGCCACCCACCCACGACCCACCCCGCGACCCTCCCCGCCACCCACCCCGCCACCCACCCACGACCCACCCGCGATCCACCCGCGACCCACATTGCGACCCACCCGCGACCCCACCCGCGACCCATTTGCGACCCACCCGCGACCCACCCGCGACCCATTTGCGACCCAACCGCGACCCACCTTGCAACCCATGCGCGACCCATTTGCGACCCAGCCGCGCCGCGACCCAACAGCGACCCACCCGCGACCCAACCCGCGACCCAACCCGCGACTCACTCGCGACTTATTCACATTGGTTTAACGAAAAATTCGGCGCTGCGGCGGGCTCGTTGTATAATTGTGGCGGGCTTCTCCAGGTCTCGCAGACTGCCGACGTCCCCGCCGCCCCCTTCACTCTTATCCGCATCTGCCGGGTGCCATGGTAATTGTATATATAGGTACATGTATATATATGTGTATATATATACATATATATATATATATTTATTTATTTATTTATACATACATACATACATACATACATACATACATGCATACATACATACATACATACACATCTATTCGCATATACATGTATAGATACACATACACACATACACACATATTTACACACATATATATATATATATATATTTATATATATATATATTGTCCTCTTCCTATAACTTTATAAGCCCGGGCGGGGGAAAAATCCGCCCCCCCCCCCCCCGCAAAACCGGACTCCCGGGATCTGGGGCTTTGGGACCCTTCGGACGGGCCTCGAGGCGGCCCCCCGGGCCTCGCAGGGCGTTTTGCCAAGCCTTCGCAGCACACCTAGGGCGATCAGGGGGGTCATCGGAGACGTCCCGGAGAATCCTGAGACAGCACAGAAGCGCTCCAAGAAGCCGTCATACCTGGAAATATCGCTCCAAAACGCACCAAGAGGCCTCCAAGAGCACCCCCAAGAAGGCCCCAAGAGGGACAAATCATTGATTTAATGCAGGATTTTGGTGAATTTGGGGCTCTCCTCTTTTCGGCTTCCCGACGCTCCAAGACAGCGGTCTTCTGGGCGTCCGAAGCCGCCTGGGAGGCTCCAAGATCGCCCCACAGCCATCCGAAAGGGCTTCCAGGCAGTCCAAGAGAGCCCCAAACCGGCACACCAGGGGTCCAAAATGGCCCTAAGAGAGCCCCATGGCGGCCCAAGATGGTCCCAAGACACCCTCCGAAGCATTCCAAATCGTGACCGGGGCGTTCAGGGAGACCGCGGTTAGAGGCAGGTTGGCCTTAGGAAGTCCCAGAGGCCCCCAGAACACGCCTGGGAGGCCTCCAGAAGGCTTTCAGAAAGCTTGAGAACTTTGGTGAGGCTCCCAGAGGCTCTCCAAGGAGGAGCCTCCGCAAAAAGAGCTGAGGAAGATGGGGAGAATGCTCAGGGTATGGCGAGAATGAGGAAAAATAAACATGGATGAAGGATAACGAACAACATTATTATAACGGCGATGCCAGAAAAGGCAGCAAGGAGTTATCGTTAAAGTGTCCGCTTGACCTTCCTGCCGTTTCCGCCTGCATGGCAATCTTCAAGGACCAAGGTGCATGGCGCGAAGCGCCACTGCAGTTTTGTGTATATATATATATATATATATATATATATATGTATGTATGTATATATATACATACATACATACATACATACATACATACATACATATATACATACATACATACATACATACATACATACATACATACATACATACATACATACATACATATCGGAGTGAGGGGGGGCGAGTTGTCACATATACACATAGATATAATGAAAAGTATGCATATGCATACAGAAAGCCTCTTGGAGGCGGTTGTTGGGCCTCTCGCGGGCATCTTCAGGGCCTCTTTAGGCTTGATTTGGTGGATTTTGTGGGCCCTTCTGGAGCTTCCGGGGGGGCTTCTCGGGGGCATGCTGGCGGTCTCGGAGGTCGTCTTGGGGCGGTTGCCTTCGCGGAAGACTGCGGGACTTCTCGGACCCCCCCGCGCGTTCTGAGAATTCGTGGGAGGCTAAGAAAAGTTCTCGGAAGGCCAGGGGACTTCCGAACCTTCTGAGAAGGCCTTCCCCGCCTCACTTCCCCACCCGCTCGCCGCCGAGCCGTGGCCCCAGAGGTTCCGACCGCTCCCTCGGGGCCCAGTTGTTCGCCCTGGGGTCCACGTCTGATGGCCCGCAAGCTTGGAAACGGCCCCCAGAGGACGAAATCCAGGAAAAAACGTCCGTTGACAAAAGACATCTCGAGAGCGGGCGAGGGCCAACAAGAGACGAATGAGCGAGGAGGACGAGAAGGAGGAGGAGGAGGAGGATAAGAAGAAGGAGGAGGAGGAGGAGGTGGAGGAGAAGGAGGAGGAGGAGGAGAGGAGGAGCATGAGGAGGAGTATGAGGAGGAGCGGGCGAGGGCCAACAAGGGACGACGAACGCACGGCCGCGGCGCACGGCTGGCCGGGACTCCCCCGCGACCCTCGCAGGACGTGGCCCTGCCCGGCGTGGGCCCCGAGCCGCTCGCGATGCCCGAGGGCATGGAGGACCGCGCTGGGCGCTGGGCCTCGCTCGGACATCGCAGGACGTCACAGCGGCGAAGCGTCCTGGCGTGCCTGAAGGCCCACCAAACAATGTTCTAAGAACCGTTTGTGGTCTCCACGAAATGTTATCGGAACACTTCTGGCTGGGACTGTCGTGCTTTAACACGTCGGGGTTAACTATGTTCTAAGAACAATGATATCATAACGTTTTTGGGTTCTAAGAACATTTCGTGGCATAGGAATGCCGGGACGGTCGGTCCGTGCTCAAAGGAAGAGGAGGAGGTGGAGGCTGAGGAGGAGGAGGAGGAGGCGATTGATGGGCATGCCATTCCTGCTGGCGTGCCTCCCTCCAGCTGGCGTGCACGTAACCTCCAGGATCTCCGCGCGGATTTCTCGGATCGGCGCCGCCGGGGCTCGGGCCGACCCTGGCGTGAAAAGGTGGGTCCAGCGCCGATCCGAGAAATCCGCGCGGACCTCCGCCATGCGCACTTCCTCATGCGATGTGCGCCGTTGTTGTGGCGACGGTGGCTCCCGATTAAGAGCCGCGCGCAATGCTGCCCTCGCAGACTGAAGCACCGGCGCGAAAACACAACGCAACACTGCATAATTGATGAACAATTGTATATCCAATTCGGGGGCCATTCGGGCGCAGCTCGGGGCACCCTAACTTACTTGGGCCCGTTCGCCCACGAATGTTTAGGTGCTCGTGTTCCTCGAGAGGTGGTGGTGTTGGTGGTGGTACTCGGCTCTTGGCCCGTCTGCTTTGCTGATTGCCGCTCTGTGGCCGCCGTGCGCTACATACGTGGGGCCAGGAAGCAATCCCGAGCGAGTATGTATTCGCCCCCCCCCCCCCCCCCCCCCTCCCCGCGACGGGCTGTCTAATCTGGGGAGTTCCATGAGAGGCGGAGGAGGAGGAGGAGGAGGAGGAGGAGGAGGAGGAGGAGGAGGGGGGCCAGAAGAGGAGGAGGGGGGCCACAAGAGGGGGGCCAGAAAACAACCCCAAGCGAGTATGTTTCCGCCCCCCCCCTCCTCCCCGCGACGGGCTGTTTAATCTGGGGGGTTCCATGAGGAGGAGGAGGAGGAGGAGGAGGAGGAGGAGGAGGAGGAGGAGGAGGAGGAGGCGGAGGAGGAGGAGGGGGGCCAGAAGAGGAGGAAAGCATATCGAGATTGTTGCCCTTGCCGCCTCGTCGCCGCGGCTGGGTTGGCCTCGAGATTCGGGCCAGAGTGCGCCCCATCTGGAGAGGTCCGGGGAGTGGCGGCATTGGTTGATGTTGACTTCCCAGGGGCAGGAGCGGCCCGAGGGGCAGGAGGGGCAGGAACCCAGAAGTTCGACGCTCCGAAGAAAATTGTTGGGCGGCCAGTTTTTGGCCGTCTTCGGCCTCGGGACCCTCACGCCGGGCCCAGGGACCGTCAAAAAACGACTCAGGACGAAAAGCCGGCCCTGGGGAAGTGGTCCAGACCTTCCTGGGGCCCACGCATCGAAAAAACTGGAGCGGCCGGATGTCTGGGAAAAGCATTGACCAAATCTTCCAGGGCCCATTGCGTTTGTTTGTTTTGATCGTTGTTGATTCAGTGCCTCGGCTGCGGCATTCGTGCTTCGATGGCTTCGGGAGGAGAGAGAGAGAGAGAGAGAGATAGCCCGAGGCAGAGAGCGACTTGTCGCGCCGACCTGCGCGCGGCCGCGGCGTGAGGGGCGGATTGGGGGGAGAGGAGGAGAACAACAGGACGATGAGCAGCAGTGATAAGGAGTACCGACCGATTTAGCAACTGGAAGCGATTAGAGGGTAAGCCATTTGAGGAGGAGGAGGAGGAGGAGGAGGGAACGATGCTGCCCCCGTCGCACAGTATACCCTTTTTGAGTTCCCCAGCCGTTGCGAGAGCAACTGGGGCGCCTGCTCTTCTCTTCCTTCTTCTGTTTCTTCTTCTTCTTCTTCTCACATTGCCTCTGATCGGCCCAGAGGGCACGGGGCCTGCCGCGACTCCCCCTTCCTGGCCCCCGTGACCGTTAAACGCCGGCTCGGGCTAAAGCGCGGGTCTCGAGAGAGCCCCTGGGTCCACGGTCGAGCAGTGGGGAGGCGTCCTGGATTGCCTATAGTCAGGAGGGAAAAACATTCAGACACAAGTAATCGTCGATTCCCCAGAAAATACAGGAAAATATGGGAAGTGGGGAGGAAGACAAAAAAACTCAGAAAATATGGGAAAATATTGGGAGTCCTGTTATTTATGTCTATTTGTTTGTGTGTCCCAGGGCCCCTTCATATAGCCCTACCAAAGAACCTTTTGTGGTCTGCAGGAAATGTTCTTAGAACGTTGCTGGCTGAGGCTGTCATGTTTTCAGACATCGGGCTTGTGTTCTAAGAGCACTGTTTTTGTTTGTGGAACATGTTTGAGTTCTGGGAACATGTCGGGGTAGGCTTGTAGGAATGCTGGGACAGTCGGCCCCTGCTCAGCAGGGCCGATTTCTGCCAGGACAAGCCCAGAGATCCGACGCTCTGGAAAAATTGGAGCGGCCGGTTTTTGGACGTCTTCGGCCTCCGGGGGCCCTCGCTGGGCCTCGGGACAGTCAACAACGACTCCGGGCGAGAAGCTGGCCCTGGGGAAGTGGTCCAGACCTCCGTGGCCCACGCATCGAACAAATCAGAGCGGCCCACGCATCAAAAAAATTGGAGCGGCCGAATGTCTGGGATATCTTCTCCCGTGCCAAAGAGAATGCTTGCGTGTTTGCCGCAAGACCCGATCTCATGCGAGGGGTGTGCCGCAAGACCCGATACCGTGTGCACTCTGCTCCTTTTGCTGCTGCTCCTCCTCGTACTGCCCCTTCCTGCCTCCCCCTCATGCCTTCTTGCTCTCCTGAGTGCTCATGTTATTTCATGACTGCTACCATTATTTGTATTATTCGTTCCTCCTCCTCCTCCTCCTCACCCTCGGTATTCCCTGCTCCTCTGTCCTTCATCTTTCAGTTTCCATTACGTCACCTCCCTTTCTATCCCTACCTCCTCGCTGATCCACGCTTCCATCCCTCCACTTCCATTATCCTCCCTCCACGCTCCCTCATCATCACTCCTTCCTCTTGCTACCCCTTCTCCCTTCTCTTCTCCCCTCTCTTCTTCCTTCCTTCCTCTGATTTCTTCCTTCCCTTTTGCTCTTCCAGTGTCCGCCCTCCCTTCTCCCCCTCCTCCCCCTTTACAACGTGTCTCCTGCCCCATTCCTCGACCCTCTCCCCCCTCCCATTCCGCCCCTCTCCGCCCTCTCCCCCCTCCTCCGTTATCCTATATGAATACTATTCTCCCTTCTCCCCTGACTCTGCCAGGGAGATATTCTGCCCTCTCCGCGTGTGGTTGGTCACACCGGGTTTCAAAAGTGCATATGGCATTCGAAATTCCAGCCGTTTTTTCATGAGTGTTCCCGCTGCAGTGGCCTCAGTTCAGGATCGGCGTTTTGCTCCCATCATTCAGAATGGCACTGTCGCCGCAGGGCAGACCTGTTTTCTCGATCTGAGTCCTTCCGCATCGTTGTCATCACCCTCCTTTCCCCTCCTCCGCCGTCCCTTGGTCCTCCTGTTCCTCCTGTTCTTGTGCTTCAGCTCCTGCTGCTGCTATTCGTCCTCGACCTGTTCCTTCCTCCTCCTCCTCCTCTTCCCGACGCCGTGGGGCCCCCGTCTGAGGGCGACACAATCCACACAGGAAGTCCTCACTAGAGCGGCACCAAAGCCGCTGGCAGCTGAACAGCACTGCCTGGCAGGTAGCTTCGGCTCACCCTTCGGACAGCCTTCTTGCCACGCGTGCCAGGCTTCAACCATGGGTCGAGAAAGCCTTTCGACTGACGCGCACTGTGCGCGCCGCGCGACACACACGCAATACAGTCACCCCGCATAATAAGGATGGGCAGCCTTCCCAAGGGTACCCTTGCATTTTTGCCCCCTCGGTCCATCCTTCGCCACGTTCGTTGGCCGCGCCCCGCTCGAAGAGCTTCGAATTGGGCGTCCAAGGCTATTGCATCCTTATCGCGCATCCTGTTTGCACTGGTTGAGTGTAACCGGGTGGCCCACATCCTGCAGGGCCTCCACCCGAAAAGTCACCAGACTGTGGCCTTCAAGCCTTGTGCTCTGTGCCGCTCGTTGGCCTCGCGCGCGCGCACCGACACCGATCCGGGACAGACCGACCGTGCGGGGGCCACAGCACGGCACCGAGCACACCGTGGCTTGGAGGCGGGCCCTTTCAAACCATGTGCCAAACGCTCATGCACAACATCGAGCTGGGGAGTCCTCGGGAGCGCACGTCTGCGACGCGCAGCACGCGTGGTACCGCGCGCATTCGCATGTGCTCCCACCTCCCCCTGCCTGAAACCAACCTGCCCTACAAACTACTCGGCTTGCTGCATCCTGCGCCTGTCCTTGGCAGGCATACGCGCACGCTGCCAAGTATGCTTGGCCCAGAGGTCGGCTCGAACATTTCCAAATCTGTCACGTCTGCTGATCTTTCTAGCACTAGCATCCGCCATCGTGCAGTGACATCTTCACCCTGCGCATCGGGAGCCCAGCCGCACAGAGGCCCCCGAGCTCGCCCGACACGTGCCAGAGGACCCGCCACCTACACGCCCAGGCCGACAAGCTGGCCGTGGTGGCATCGGGACCCCTTGTCAGTCATTCCGTGGAAAGCAAAATCCGAATCAGTGATGACCACAATCGGGGGCACCGACATCTGAAGCAGGAAACATGAGGGCCTTCAACTCGGCACCATCAATATCGCATCCCTCACGCGAACACGTGCAACAATTGTATCGTGCACCCCTAGAGGCTGGAAGCGACGTGGTGACAACCCGCGCGGTACAAGTCATGCTCTCTCATTGGGACTCAACGGCGGACCCATCAAGGGAAGCCGCACGCGCAACCAGGATTCCAGCCCCTCATTTTTGCGCCAGGTGATGGGCTCCTGGCCGGGGGGGCAACAAGTGCTTCTAGGCAGCGGCCACAATGCGTTTTCCGGGAGCACCTGGACCTGCGG